CTTCGACGTTGTTAAGATACACCGTCAAATTCCCTGATTGTACATAGAACCAACCTCTCAATTTATTTGGATTTGCTTCTTTAAAAAAATAACGATATGTTTTCAACATGTGTTAGACAATGGAAACATAGGGAAATCTTGTTGATGTAAGTCGTAAATTGATATCAGATTCAGTAGCGTTATGTTTGCGATACTAATGATATCATTATCCTAGCCGACACCTGAAGCCAATCGTAATTAATTGTGAGATTCTCTGATATAGATTAACCTTAAGAGCGGACGCACACCTTTGACTAAATTATCGCACAATAGTTGTGCGATTGTCACTTGTTTCGCAGCCAATTCAACTGTTTCGTTGCAGAACTAAAAAATCGACTGTGTGCTCACCTCCATATAAGCAAATAGGAATTAAAGCGATATTAAACAGTTTTGCGATAGTTTAGTTTCAAGTGTGCGCACGCTCTAATAAACTAATCATTAAACAATAAAATATAGAAGATAGATAAGTTACATTGTTACTGTAACAGTGAGTTTAAAGGTCGTTGAGGGTTTTGTTAATTTTAGTATGAAAAACTAACACTAAGGGACTACTGAAGGAGCAATTACAATCTAACCAAGATTATACCTACCTGGTTTGGGAGCGCTTCAATCGGTTTTTGTTACGCCATTTACTAATATGAGCAAAGGAATTAGTTCCATATTTTTTTGCAACGGTTAGAATTTTTTTGTTCTTAGTAAATCTATAATTATCTATTTTTTATTATCTATTCTGAGTACGGAAAGTATATCTTATTCATGTGTGACAAATATAAAAGATGAAAGTAAAACTGACTATGTAAACATGCCAAAGAGTATTTATTTTTTCACAATACACCCGAGTTTTCATTGCTTATAAATGCACAAAGGTCTATTGTCGTTTTTATTTATTGTAAGAAAACAAGAGAGATGAAGACAAGGTTTCGGCTGTGGAAACATGCCGAGGTGAACTTTGAGAGAAACAAAAGAAATATGAAAGTTTTTTCTTTATACAAGGTGGGAAATGAGCAAGCGGCAAATGAAGTAAAGGCAACAGCATAGACTTTTCCTTTGGCTACGTTTGACTGACGGCGGTCGAGTACAGTAAGAGAATATTTCCTCTTCCTATCGTTACCAAGAAATGATGGGGAGTGTAGAGGAAATTCTATGAATTTTACATACTATAGCAATGTTCATACAAATCACAGAGCACTTTATATAAAATCTATCGTCAACTAGAAACGGAATAGTTTAGATCCTCTTGCACTTTGTGCTTTGGACAGTAGTACAATTTCCTTTTAGAATTGAACGCTCAAAGAATTTTTGCCTCCATGTAGGCTTCGAGGCAATTTATTTTAAAACTAGCAGAATGCAATCTTAAAATATCGTACAAGCTTAAAAGAAATTATTTACCAATATCAGGATTGTTTTAAAATTCAATTATATTCAATTGTATTGAACTAAAAAAAAAAGCTCAAAATTTTTTTTCGACTATGACAAAATTCGGAAACATTCTCTAGATCTGTTACAGATTCGATTTAAAAAAAGTTTTAGACACATTTTAAATTCAACTTACAAATTTTGTAACAGAATTTAATAAATTAAAGACTTTTTAAACTCAGTGTTATTTGTAAAATTGCCAAATAAATAAAATCTTTCGACTGACATCAGATATTTTCTGGTTTACATTTTCTTATAAGTTAAGTATTTTAGCAAAATAATTATATAACAGATAGTGTTCTTGTAATCATTTAGCAATGGGTATTTCCACTAAATAATTATAGATCGTTAAGATATGTTCCGATTAAGATGTTGAAATTACGTCCATAGAGTAAATGGCCGCGTGCGCACCCTATCATGACTCAAATCGAACTGGCATTTCCACAAGATGGCCGCCATAGCAGTGTTCGTCATGTGCATAGACTACCCCGATATACAATTTAAAATGATGCATGTTATTAACACAAAAGAAACTTATGTCGTAAAGCACGGCGCTTCGTTTTCAAAACTTACGTAATCTCCCAAGTTTATAGAAAAGCAGACTCGAAAGTTGTGATCGTATAAGTTTGAGTAAGTCTTCAGTATAGCGAACTGCTTAAATGTTCCTTCGGTGTTCAATAAATGTAAGTTTGAAAACTTTGTTATTTTTCCCACTTATAACATCTTGTAAGAAAGCTATTATAATTTATTTAGTTACTTTCGCCCGTGATTTCGTCTCTGTGGAATAAAAATAAAAAAAGTAAATTGCCTATGCCTTCCAGACTATGATGTACATCTATACCATATTTCATCGGAGATACCGTCTAACTAACATCCATCTATCCTTCTAAGCATTCGCATCTATTACATTTTCAGTTAATATCAAAACACATTGCTTAATGCACAAGAAAATTACATTATCGGCCAGCGAAACATAAATCTTTTGACTAAACTATCACACAACCGTTGTACGACTGTCGATTGTTTCGCAGCAAAGTCAACTGTTTAGTTGCACAACTAAAAATCGAGTAGTGTGTGCGATTAAACAGTTGTGTCATAGTTTAGGCAGAGTTGTGTGCGCACTAAATATGCATTTTCGTTTCCATTATGTTAAGAGTTAAATACAAAAATGTGAAGCGACGAGTCTTTTAATATTTTCGGGTACTTTTATTGACAGACGCCTCTAATAGGTTAACTACAACTTCATGATCTACATTCCTTTGTTATTACGAGATCATTTGACAGAATTTCAAAGCTACAAACGGCATAATTAACAATCCGATAGCCTTATGTCCGTTGGAGTTGCAAATAAACGCTATTTAGGTATTACTGCATTTTGCACTGACCCAAGGCAATCTACTTTGTAAAATATTGTGGTCATTTTTCCAGTAAGGTAGTAGATAATGAAATGTATAACAATTTGTTTTTGTATATGTCTATAGATAGTAAAAATCCAACGTCTTATAGATGACTACTTTATGACTGCGAGTCCGTTTGTGCGGAATTAAGAAAGTAATTCGTGACTTTCCAAACAATCTACATCTGTGTCTTCATCTCATTCATTCATTCAGTCATTCAGTCATTCAGTCGTTCTATTTGCAAGCATTGAACCAATAAGCTAATAAAGGAAGAGGATATAGTAATAAATCAAAATAGTAACCAATAAATAAATTTTATTGCGATTTCGCATGACTTATGGGTACATAAAAATTATGCAAAACTAAAATATTACAAGGTTCAATACATTGTTGCTGATTTCTATTGATTGAAAACATTGTTTCTAATTAGGGGCAATGGTTTACCATTTAAGGAAGTTTCCTTTTATTAATTGTTTTCGATTAATGATTGATGGTAATATGATTGTGTTGAAATCAAATAGCCTAATAACACGCGTACGTAAAAAAGTCATAACTTTAACCCTATTACGTATGTTGTAATTCCCATCTTCAATCCACTTAGACCCTTTGTATAAGGTAATGTAAATCTTGGAACACAGGAGATTTTAATTGCTAAGCGATTGGAAAGAAATAAAAAGATTCGAACTCAGACCCGTGTCACCGATATTTTAAGTTTTCGTTGCAACACAAAAGATTACGCGATTTTCAAGATGTTAGAGAAAACCTATAGGTACAATAATATTTTGTATGTTCTTAGTTGTTTAAAGATCGCGTAACGCGATATTTCCGAAGGAAAAATACAATATCAAATCGAAGATATACATTTTTTGTGTACGAAGGGCCTTATATTTGTAGACATGAAAACTTTAACTATGAAATCACAAAACCGTAATCGTATCTTTATTCTAAATTTGAATACATTTATTTGTTTTAAAACATACTCGTACATCATCATCATTAGCTCACTACACGACCCTACAGAAGGGCTCCGAAACTACTGTAGGTTAGGGCTGACTAGGCCATAGTTAACCACGCTGGCCCACTGCGGGTTGGTTGACTTCACATATATCTTTGAATTTCTTCGCCGATATGTGCAGGCATCACGATGTTTTCCTTCACCGTAAGAACGTCAGGTAAATTGTACATTTGAAATTCATAGAATCGAAAATATTGTTATCTTTGTTTGACAAAACGTATATATGCAGTTCAGTGGAGTTCTAAGATAGAACAGTTCATAATATCTCAATACATTTTTTAAAATATCATTACTACGAAAAATTCAGTACTTTTTTTGTAGTAACTATGTTGTTTTCGATACAACAAGACTAACAAACATTAACACCATCGTTAAACAATTAAAATGGAGATGGACAGGACACACTGTACGCGGCCCCGACAAATGGAGTAAAGCAATCAATTTTTGGTATCTTAAAAATGGCAAAAGAAAGCGTGGAAGACCAATCAAAAGATGGATAGATGAAATTAAGACAATAGCGGGACACACTTGGATCAGGACAGCAACAGATAAAAGGGAATGGAGGAAGTTGGAAGAGGCCTATGTCGGTAACGGACAAACAGATAATAATTAATGACATATAATACTTGTAACTTATAATTAAAATTAACATTGTAAAAACTATCTGAATAAAGGCTATTATTATTATTATTATTATTTATGTTGTTTTCGATACTATATTTTCACACTGAACTGTACATCTCTTAATACCGCACAATAGACACTAAATCACAACGACGGAACCAATAAATCACTCACCAACTGTTTTATTACGTTCACAACGAAGCTCTTAAGGGTATAAAGTATCTTCTATAAATATTTTTTTTATTATAGTGTTTCATTTATTTGAGTTTTGGAGAGATTTTATTATAAAAATGTCTATCTGTCTATCTCAATTATCTAATAGTAAGTTTCATAATTTACGAAATTATTTTTTTTTTACTTTTATAAATTAATAAGTACCTATTATTAGTAATACTTTATCTAAATATAGTAAAGAATGTTAGAAAAATTGTATAAGAACAGTGTAATAAACTAGGAATCAAAACTTGACGATTTTTGTACAGGCACAGTGCTTCAATTACATCAATAAATTACTTGTAATATTCTTCTTTTATTGCATCACAAGCCTTTTCAGCAATCATAATAGTAGGTGCATTTATATTACCTCTAACAATTTCAGGCATAACTGAAGCATCTACAACACGTAGTTTGTCTACTCCATGTACTTTTAGTCTAGGACTAACTACTGCGTCTCTGTCCCAAATAGGTCCCATCTTGCATGTACCTACAGGATGAAATATCGTTGCTGTATATTGTATTAGAAGACATTCTAAATAACCATCTGAACCCCATGTGAAATCTTCACAACCTTTTATCTGAGTTTTAATAAATTTAGCTCCATTATTCTTGAACACATTTGTACTTTCTAATGTTAACAAATAACGCACACCTTCTAGTAAAGTTTCTACATCGTGTCTCTCTGTAAAAAATCTGGAATATATTAATGGGGCACCAAAAATTGGATTTGTTTGGTTTAGATGTAAATATCCTCTACTTTTAGGTTTTAGTAATATAGGTCTACATGTTAGGCCATCATAAAACGATAATGGAAATACATTTGTTGCGATATAATTAGTTGGATCAGAATATAATTCGCGAACATTACTTCCACCAAAATGAAATTGTATGTCTGGGGCATTTTCCGCGCTTAATTTAGTTTTAATAAATGCTATTCCGTTTGTAGGTCCTGTAGCAGCTAGTGGTCCTTTCTTTTTGGATTTTCGATAATTGTAATATTTAGAAATTTCATTGAACAACATCTTTTCATTTACAAGAGTGGATGTCTTATTCGAAAGTTGTATATTCAGACCTACAGTGGTTACGTGATCTTGAAGATTTTCACCAACTTTAAGATCGGATACCACAGGTATGTTTAGATTTTCTAAATGATTTTTAGGTCCAATTCCTGATAACATTAGTAATTTAGGAGAATTTAAAGATCCAGCACTTACGATCACTTCTTTTTTACTATAAAATGTACGTAATACTCCATATTTTATAAATTGAACACCAATAGCGGTGTTATTTTCATGATTAAATAAGATTTTTATTACAAATGCTTCATTTATGATTTTCAAATTTGATCGTGTTTTTTTAATGGGTAGTATATAAGCTGTGTTAGCAGACATTCTACGTCCATCTTTGGAAGTTGATTGACAAATATTTGTTCCTATTTGATTTTTACCATTGAAATCGGTAATCGGTAGGCCTTTCTCTCTAAAAGCTTGTACTAACATTTTTGCATTCTTATCTGTGTATGGGAACCTTTCTATATTTAAAGGCCCACCTTGAGAGTGGTAAGGATTATTACGATTTCCGTAGTCTTTATTATTTTCTGCTTTTTTAAAATACTTCAACACCTGAAATGAAAAATCAGAAAATAGTAAACAAAACTTAGATAATCAAGACAATCATTGTTGTAATTTTGTATATTACTTACCTCTCGGTAATTCCATCCGTAATTTCCCATCTCTCCCCATGCATCATAGTCTCGTTTATTTCCTCTCATATAAACCATATAATTAATAGCACTTGAACCCCCCATAGTTTTACCGCTAAAATATTTTCAATTAGATTATTAAAACTAAATTAATAATGAAATCGAGATAAGATTTAATTTATACGCAATGACCAAAACAAATCTACCATGACTGCACCGACGGGAGTTCCGTTACCTTATCCAAGAACAAGTTTGTCCATTCTGTGATCTACAAGTTAATTCTTCAGGTTGTGTTCGATATTTCCAATCAAGACTTGATCCTCTAAAAATCGGCGCTAAACTTGGTACACTGGTCACTTCTGGTTCTTCTAAACCGGCTTCTAACAATAATATCTAAATTAACGTGATTTCGTAATTATTATTTTTGATAAGATTTATAAATTCATAGGGTTTTAATCGTAAAGTAGACTTGTAAACATTAACAATTTTAACACGATTACTTAAGTCATGTAATTTTTACGATTATTTAAGCGTTAAATGTTAATTTTAATTAAGCAGCTTTGACTGTTGAATCAATCTTACTCAATTTTTTAAACTAATGGTGAACCAAATATTACCTTCCAATTATGTACTTCAGATAATCTATTGGCAATAACGCAACCCGCAGATCCTGCGCCTACTATAATAAAATCGTATTCCTTTAGTCTTTTGCTTTCTTCATTAAAACTTTCTGTTTTATTTTTTTCTTCAATCTTAGTTGTACAGTCTGATGTACTATGCTTACTATTAATTGCAATTTTTATTTCATTATTACGAACACTCTTTTCCACAATACATATTTTATTTGTTAAATTAGCTTTATCTGTGTAATTTGAATTTCTAAGAAATTTTCCATCACTCCGGATTCCAGAATTTGCAATATCCGTTAGTTTTGATCGTTTTTTACCATTTAACTCTTGTAAGTCACTAATATCAGTTTTGTTTCGTAAAGATTGATTAACCATAGATCCGTTGTATAGCCGAGCAATAAGTGCCAAAAACATGTACCCTGATTGCGAGCATTGGGTCAGTGGTGCAATAGTATTATCACAAATCTGGTTGATTTCTGGCAGAATCCAGTTTGTATCACACATTTTACTATTGTCTTTAACTAAGCAATGTCTAATATGTGTAGTTACTCTATTGGAATGACAAGTACTGCCTTTAATTTATGTAACTTTAAAGATTATTAGAAAATCATGTGCAATAAAATTTAATGACTAATAATCCATGATACACATTTAAATAATGTGACGTCTTTTTAGTATTTATTGTAGTAATTATTACAAGTTTTTTGCTGCGGGTTTTCACTGCCAAAACCCTTACACGAGTACTTATTGGCATCCCTTTTATGAACTTAGGGAAATTAAATCAACAATATGTTTCACTAAGCCTGTTTTCGACCTGCTATCCGATTGTTTGTTTAAATTCACGTATACCAAGAAATTAGTATAAAGCGAACAATATTTATAAAACAAGAATATAACAAGAAATTAGTATAGAGCGTCGGTGGCTTCGTGGTTTAAGCACTTGACTTGTAATCTACAGGTCTTGGGTTCGAATCCCGCCATGTGCCAATGTGATTTTCGATTTTTCGAATTTTCATATGTACATAATTTACCCGACGTTCTTACGGCGAAGGAAAACATCGTGATGCAACCTGCACATATCGGCGAAGAAATTCAAAGATATGTGTGAAGTCAACTAGCCCGCGCTGAGCCAGCGTGGTTGACTATGGCCTAGTCATCCTTATTAGTGTAGGCTCCGAGCCCCTCTGTGGGGATATATAGTGAGCTGGTGCTGATGTGATGAACAATATTTGTATTAACTTTTATGCAATACACGTTTTCCTTTATACATAGACTTAAAAAAACGGAGTTAATAATTCATATTTTGAATACTTTGAATTTAGACTATTAAGATTTATCGGTAGAATTTTCCCACTAAACCTCCTTTCTTCGCAGCACAAAATGGATATAAACTCGCGAGGACGGAACCTATAAATCACTCACTAAGTGTTCTGTTACGTCTTATACGTGGAAAACGATGATGTGGAAAAACATCGTTAGATACTGAAAACATTTTAAATTATCTTAGATACTGCTACAATATTGTTGGTATAAATGAAATAGCGATTGTGTTTTAGATATTTCTATAGAGAAATTAAGAAGATAGACAATTGGCCCTGTGGTATGTACAATAATTTAAGGAAAGACCAATTGTCTGTCTTTCTGTATAGCTATGGTATTTCTTCAGGACAACGTGTCGTTCTGGAGGCCGCATCAGCTGAGCCTTTTCCTTTTGGCCAAGAATTTTTATCTTTATTTTTATTTCAGTGATAATTGTAAGTTGTGTTCTTTTAATTTTTTTGTTCAATAAATGGTGTTTTATTTTGTTTTCATTTTTTTTTATTCTATCTCCAGCAGATATCTAAGAGTTCTACAGTTAAATGTAGAATATATTCCGATATTTGACATGAATTATGGTCATCATTGCTACAACTTTTCCAATTTGCTCATTAAATTTAAGGCAAATAAAATGAAAAAGCAAGTCAGTGAAAAACATTTATTACCAAAATAAACATTCTCATTTCTTAAAACTTATGAATGAGTACAAAAGTAAGAAGTATGTTTTAATTACTAATATTAAATAATTTTAAAATTAGATAATTAAAAATTATCAGGAGCTGTAATCCTGTGGCACATTATAATTTAAATATATTATTGATATACAAATACAAAATTAGGTACTCCCAGTCAAACTATTCATTTCACAATTTAACTCCACCGTTATTCCTTCGACGCTATTTTCTTACTTCATAAACGTTATTTTATTTTTGGATTATTTATATGTACATATAGTAATTAACTTTAAAATTAGGTGTAAATTATCTAGGTCTCTTGTATTTTTTTTACCTTCTAACGTTTTATAACATAGTGCATCTATTAATTAGTTTCTAAATTGTATGCTCCAGTTCATTCATATAACCATTCCTCTTTAATGATATCACTAGCTTTCTCAGCAATCATTATAGTTGGAGCATTCGTATTACCTCTGACAATTTTTGGCATAATAGATGCATCTATAACCCTCAACTTATCTATTTCATATACTTTTAGTCTATGATTTACAACAGCTTCACGATCCCACACTGGACCCATTTTACATGTACCCACTGGATGATAAATAGTCGAAGTATAAAGCATTAGAATACAAACAAAGTATTCATCAGTTCCCCACAAGAATTGTTCGCAACCTTTTATCTGTGTTCTCTTAAATCTAGCACCGCTTCTTTTGAATGCTTCTGTGTTTTCTAATTTAATTGCATATCTCATACCAGCTACAAGGGTTTTTATATCATTTTTAGATGTGAAAAATCCGGAGTAAATTAACGGTTGTCCAGAAACAGGATCTGTATGGTTGAGTAATATGTAACCTCTACTTTCTGGTGTTAACAACAATGGTCTAGCTGCTAAACCATTATAAAAAGACAAGGGGAATATTCTTGAAGCTAAATAAGATGTTGGGTCTTTGTATAAATCTTGCACATTAACACCATCAAAATGAAATTGTATGTCGGGTGCATTTTCCTTCGCGTATTCAGTTTTTATAAAGGCGATTCCATTTAACGACCCAGTAGCAGCCAATGGTCCACGTTTGTTGCCATGTTGTTGTTTATACTTTGTTACTTCATCTAATAATTGATTACCACTTACTAAGGTGGAAGTTTTATTTGATAGCTCTATTATTAACACGTCTGTAGTGACATGATCCTGTAGATTACGACCTACTTGAAGATTAGCTAAAACAGGTATACGTAAACTCTCCAAGTGTTGTTTCGGGCCGATTCCTGATAGCATTAAAATTTTAGGAGAGTTCAAAGCTCCGGCACTTAAGATCACTTCCATTCGACTATAAACCGCTTGAGTAACTCCGTCCTTTATATAATAAACACCAGATGTACTCTTAGTTATCGGATCAATAATTAATTTTGTTACGTGTGCGTTAGTTATAACTGTTAGGTTGGGTCGTTTTCCTCTTATCGGTCTTATGAATGCTGCATTCGTAGACATTCTCTCCCCATCTTTAGCTGTCGATTGTCCTATATCAGTTCCAATTTGATTTTCTGCATTAAAATCTGTAACACCAAGACCCGTCTCTTTGAAAGCTTGCACCAGCATTAGTGAATTCAAATCTGTGTAAGGAAATCTCTCGACATTTAATGGGCCACTTGTTGAATGGTAGTGAATATTGTGAGCTTCTATATCTTGGTTATTTTCTGATTTCTTAAAATATGGCAGTACCTGAAATATTGAAGAAAAAAATAATGTATTTCCTACAACCTATCACGTTAATGAAGCTTTTAAGGTGAAGTATGATTTTCATTTCTCACAAAAACAATTGATATGACATATCTATACTAATATAATAAAGCGTAAACACACACTACTTTGTTGCCGAAGATGTCAGCAATTACAGCATGTTTTCGAATAATTCTTTCTTTAATAAAAAGCCCTACACTTACGTCACGCTTTAGGCTATATATTTTCAAGCTATTAAATTTAGATGGTAAATAAATTGGATAAAAATGCTTATGTGGGAAAGGGACTATAATCTACAAGCTGCCAACATCAAGGAAGTAAGATTGCCATAGTTTGTCATTAGGTCGTCATTTTGACATAATTTGACAAATGTGAACAATAACATAATATTTTCACAATTTCATGCGGATGAAGCCGCACGGGAACAGCTAGTTCAAGATATTATTTTATTAGTAAAGTGCGCACACCTAAAACTATCGCACAACTGTTTAGTCTTACTTTGGTTTCTATGAGTTTATATGGAGGTGCGCACACTACTCGATTTTTAGCGCAACTAAACAGTCAAATCGATTGTGAAACAATCAGACAACAGCTCTAAATATAATTTTCATGGCCAAAATTGAAACTGTTCGCTGTGCTAGCTTGACCATGACATCTCTTAAAGCTTGTTTAAACTTTAAAAAGATAATTGTTTTATTTTTAATACTAGCAAAATTTACTAGTCAAGGGTGCTTTGCCCTATTATGTACCGTATCGAACTGTACATAGTAATCGGATAACATGTATACAGTTTGCAAACAGACAATCTACGACAAGGGATTATATTAATTGAACGCTTGTATACAAGCAATAGGCAGATTGATAATGCAGTATTAGCTACAATATATGATTTAAGGCCGGTTTCCCACATTTAACCATTTGTTAGTGTTTTTAGTTCGATAACTTCGTTAAATGCGTTTCTGTAACTTGTGTTTTACTCAGGTGAAACTTAAGGCAACATAACACTAATGAATCGCTTGGTAATCCTACTTCCTACTAATATTATAAATGCGAAAGTTTGGATAGATGGATCTTTGTTAGATTTTATAGCCTGAACGGCTAAATGGATTTCAATGAAATTTGGTATAGATGTAGTGGATAGTCTGGAAGAATATATAGGCTACTCACTTTAATTCTATGCAGATGGAGTCGCAGGCGAAAGCTAGTTATCTATAATCTGTACTAATATAAAGATGAAAGATTTGTATTTTTGTATGTATTAACATAACTGAAAAACTACTGTGTATGTTTAAAAAATTCTTTCACCATTAAAAAGCTACATTACCATCACATGGGCTATGTTTTTTCCATTTTTTAATGTTTTTTAATTCAACGAGGACGAAATCGCAAGCAGCCAGTTGTTAATATATTGCATAACCAATATTCACTTACTTCCTGATAACTCCATCCGTAGTTTTCCATTTCCGCCCACGTATCGTAATCCCTTTTATTTCCTCTCATATAAACCATATAATTGATAGCACTTGAACCCCCCATTGATTTGCCTCTGAAAAACATGAACATAAAATGAACAACAGTATACTAATCTAATGAAAATGTCAGCAAATGAGCAACGGCCACGTGAATCCGCCAAAATGGCGAAGCGACTGCTGCCCATAGACATCCGCAATTGCAGATGCGTTTTTTATCCTTATTCGACGGAGGAGAAGAGCACATAAAGAGGATATTTACCCTTCCTATGCAATCTCCTCCACCGTCAAATCCACTTTCGCTTCCCATCCCTTGAAAGAAAAGGGTGGTAAGAGAAAGGGACATTATTTTTTTAATTTTGCGTGGACGTCGTCACGAGCAACAGCTAGTATAAAAAACAAAACCGACTTCCAAACAAAATACACGAAAAACAAAACAAAATGCACTAAAAACAAAACAAAATACACCAAAAACAAGATATTC